ATAACTCTGAAAAAGTGCAAAAAGTGCATCTGCTGTTGTCTCTCACATCAAAATCCAGCCACATATTTGTTTAGAGCTGGTAAACGCTGTACACACACACACTCTCTCTCTCTCTCACACACACACACACACAGTACAGTAGCAGCAGCAGCAGGAGTTTCTCCTCATGTCAGAATAAGTGTGATGATGATGAATCAAAGAAGAGTCCCAAATGAAAACTCTCTTCATCTTTTATAGACACATCAGGTGCATCATGGGACGCATTGAAACTGATTTTGGACTCTCATTCTGACGGCACCCATTCACTGCAGAGCATCCATTGCATGATATTTTTTTCCATGTTAAGATGAATCTGCATCATTTTCTTCATACAGACAGTGACTGAATAACTCGCGCAGCATCCTTCATACACTTCTCCAATTTTATTTTAAAAATCCTGATTATTTTGAAGCAGACACAAAGAAATAATACGAGAGTTTAAAAACGGAGTTATTAGAAAGAACGGCGGCTGATCTGAGAGCAGAATGAGCTTTACTACCTAATGATCAAAGCGTCTGATAAACTACAGACACAAGTTTTCATAACATTTATACAAATGAAGGCTATTCCAAATCAAAATGACAAAGATTATAATATTGTTAAATGTGGTATATAAACATTCAAACTTTACAAAATTTAATAAATGTATCTGTTAAAACTACAGAGGAAAAGAGGTAAATACCTTTAAAAGAACAGACAGTCCTCACAGCGTTTGTACATGAGACGTGCAGAACAAAACAAGCGCGTTTGAGCACAAAATGAGACGCGTGTAAAAATATCAGCGCCTAGAGAAGCCGAGACTGCCGTCACACATCACAGCTTCACAGACAGCTCTGAGATCCGATCCGCTCGCCAGACTCAGTGTTAAAGCTGCTGTCGGTCCAAACGCTGAAGTCCTGCTCCTCTCAACAGAAACTGCTGGTCACATGACTTCCTCTTCCTGTCGTCTGTGACACCTCTGATACGAGGGCCAATCACATGAAAACACTTCCATCTTCACCACAAAATAATGCTAAATCACATTTCCTGTCAAGAAAGTGAAGCCTAATTTAAGATTTTTTTGCAGTGACGTTATTTTCATAAACACATTTGTGCAAAAACTGGTATTTTTCTCTCATTACTGTAAGCACAAATACTGTAAAGATGTATTTAAACCAGCATAAACTGAAGGAAGTACAAGAAATACTACCAGAATGCATAATTCAAATAAATGTCAACAAAATTAAGATTACAATAATGAGAATTTAGGGGTTAAATGTGTCATTAAAACAGCTTAATTATTTCTGAATGTGAAATCGGGTTTGTTTTGTGGTGAATATGAGTTTAATATGTATTGAGGTGAGAGTTTAGGATGCAAACGCTAAACGACTCGCTACTGCTGCTAACGAGCACAGCTCAACCCGTCTGTGAGGAGCGACGTGTGACGACAGCGTTAAAACAGAGATGAGGAGGAGCAGAACACAAACACGCTGTGACCTTTGACCTCTGACCCCTGTCTGTCCTCGCTCTGAACACAGCCAATCAAACACAACCGAAGACGTGTGTGTGTGTGAGAGAGAGAGAGAGAGTGTGTGTGTGTGTGTGTGTGTGTGAGTGTGTGAGTGAGTGAGTGAGTGTGTGTGTGTGTGTTTAAAGCAGGCTGGCCAGGCTGGTGGTGGGTCCATTCTGAGCTTGAATCTGCACAGGAGGAGGGCCTTCAGTCCACTGAAACACACAGAAAACCTCGTCAAACAACTCCATTTACATCATTCACATCAAAATAAACAGTCTCTCATGTGGGAATGAATTATGAGATATTCCTAACATCAAACAAAAACACAAGCTGTCAGTGTTGATGTTTGTTATTAATCTAATGCAAAACACTATTACAAATGGACAGAGATTTTCCTGATCTTTCCATTCTCAGGTGACGTGTGTGTGTGCGTGAGTGTGATTTTGTGGTTTATGAGGACACAAATTTGTATAATGACATGGGTATGACATAGGTGTTACAAGGAGAAGGTGATTTATGAGTGTGTGTGTGTGAACGTGTGAGTGTGTGTGAATGTGTGAGCGTGTGTGAGAGTGTGAGCGTGAGTGTGTGTGAGTGTGAGAGTGTGTGTGAGTGTGTGTGAGCGTGTGTGTGAAAGAGTGTGAGCGTGTGTGTGTGAGTGTTAGCGTGTGTGTGAGAGTGAGAGAGAGTGTGTGTGTGAGTGAGAGCGAGTGTGTGTGTGTGTGAGTGTGTGAGCGTGTGTGTGAGTGTGAGCGTGTGTGTGTGTGTGAGAGAGAGTGAGTGTGTGTGCAGGGGCGGATTTAGTGAATTGGGGGCCCCAGGCAAAATATAGGAATGGGGCCCTAT